TCGAGCTGGGTGAGAACACCTTGAATATAAATACAACAAAACTCTCAAGTTGAACTTTCTGGAGACTTCTAGTACATAAGCAATTTTACCGGTCAATGGAAAGGATAAATACCAAAGGAAAGTCTGAGCTACTGCTATTTGCACAGTGCCCTGTACAACTGTTTAGTGAACCCACTGCAATTCCAGTCACTGTGCTGCAGGCTTTACATGCATTATCTTATTTTAAACTTTCACAATTGTTATGAGATATCATCACCATTCGCACATGAAAAAAACTGAAGGTCAAAACTTGTAATAAAACTGCCCAAGCCACCTAAGTAAACAGAATGAAGATTCTTTTATACAACCAAAAGATGACCCTTCGACTATAATGAGCAGCATCCAAACATTGCAGGGAAGCTTCGCTATTTTTTCCTAACGCTGTCCCTAAAAATTTCATAATACATCCTCAGATTTGCTCATTCTCCTTAAGCACTTTAGTAAATCTGATCAGTAGTGCATTCCACACTCCTCAATGCTCTGTAGTTGCTATAGTTTATTTTTTGCACTTGATACCCATATTAAATGTTACCCTCAAAATATTTATACTCAGAATAATTTTTAAAGAGTTGTTAGATGTGCTATACTATAAGAGAAATTATATTCAGAAACTACGTCACCACAAACAATACATGAATTCTGAAAGGAATACGGACTACCATTGGGTTCACACAATCTGATTCTGCTTGGTGAGTTCTTAAATATGCTCAAAAGAGTCAAGAACAGAGTAACTGTCCCCACAAAGGAAATTGCTATGCAAGAGAAGGAAAATCACATCACCTTTTTTAACATAAAGTCTAAAAGGGTAGCAGCATGAACCTCACATAATCTAATGGCTGAGACATATTAGAGGCCCCAGGTAGAAGGAATACAAGCAGAAAATTCTTCCCCATTTTACTTGGCCTGAGGCAAGGGAAGAAAGGGAGCTACTGTGCTTTAGAAAGGAGGTCTGCCTCCAGCACTCTAGGAGAGTCCCGGGACCCAAAACAGGATTCAGGCTGCAATCAGAAATGGAAGATGTTCAGGCCTCACCTGGTGGGGAACACTCAGTGATGTTGTTGGTTGCCACATGGACACTTTCGATGCTCCTGGAACCCTATTTTGGACAGAAGGAATGTGTAGATAGGGTCTCAGGAGTAGGCTGAGTCAAGCACAAGATAGAGAACACAAAGGTTTTGGCTAGGAGATGCACATTCTTTAAATTATATCCAGTGGGTAAGTCCTGTGAAACACCTGGTTTGCTCTCCCTCGCTCATCATCATGAAAGAAATTACAAGCAAGAGTTTTCAATTGCTAGATCTCTTATATACTTTCCTACAAAAATAGCTTTATACAGTAATTTCCAGTAAAGAAGAATTGGGGCTGCTCTATTGCACACATACATGAGAAATCCATAGCCTCTGTATGCTGTCTTGAACTCATCTAAGCTCTGCAGGAGTCTTTATTTCCAAATGTTTACATCACTTTTTAAAAAGCTATTAATAGTTTTAATATTCAGGAGATTAGTCTTCAGAAATTGGCATTTTATTAATTGGAAAAAGGTTTTCATCGTTATTATACTTCAGAAAGGATGTCAAAGGGGAAAACTACACTCTCCTCTAAGATCTAGTTCTCAGATATGCAAATTCTACCCCTGAGGTTATGGTGAGCTAGCTATGAGCCCAGTCTGGGACAGGAGCTTCTATAAAGAGTCAAATAGAATAAGGCATCACCCATAAACAAAGTCAAGAGGGAGAGTCATTGTCAAGAGTGTTGCAACTGAAAGGCAGGTTCCGTACAATAGTTAACATTTTTGAGTAGCCATTACATGCTGGTGCTGTGCTAAGCTCTATTTTTCATATTAAAGTTTGTATTTACTTATATTTATATATATATCAAAATTATGGAATATCAAAGATATGCTAATGTACACACCACAGAAATTTAAGATGTCAACATTGTCATTTTTGCTTAAAGTCCACCTGTTAAAGAAATAAAACAATGCATATTCAGCTAAGGCCCACTCCTCATCCATCCCAACTTCCTTTCCTCACACTGAACTTCCTGAGTTTTCATGTATCACTCCAATCATAGGTTTTTTCATTACACTTGTATTTATGCAACTTGCCTTTCCACCCAACAAATACTTTGATATTTACCTATGTTGATACATGTGGATCTGGTTGATTCACATTAGCTTCTACATTGAACTTCATTATAAGTCTCAGTTAATCCACTCCAGGTAGGCTGTTTCTACTCTTTTAACATTCAGAGGGCAGTGATCTTGTGGGTAACTCCTGGTGTACATGTGCGAGTTTCTCTAGGTCCTCTCCTTGGACTTTCTGAGTCGTAAGGTATGCACCCTCCAACTTTACTAGGCATTGCCAAAATTATTTCCAAAGTGATTATGTCAATTTCTACCTCTATCAGAAAGGTATCAGTCCTTTTGCCCCCTTATTTTTCCCTTGGTGTTTTCTTTCTTAATGGTTTCTAAGCACTCTTGGGATTATTTCAATGCAAATACATTCTTCGAATTTATGGTTTTACATTTCACTTTATTAAATGTCCTATCATTAAAAAATATCTTAATAATATGGAAAATTCTAGCAACATGATTTCCTTCGAGGTTTGTGTTTATGTCAAAAGTTCTCTGCCCCAGGATGATACAGTTTTTCTTTATTTTCTTCTAAATATTTTTTTAAAATTTCCTCTTCAGGTTTATATCTTCAAACCATCTAGAATGTATTTTTTGTGTATGCTCAGTTAGGGGATCTCGTTTTATCTTTTTACAAAGAGATAGCCATTAAAAACAACAAAAAAAAAGTCCATCCTTTCATCAATGACTTTTAAAGCTACCTCTGTCATATATCATGTTTTCGTATGCAAGTGGGCCTATTTATGGGCTCACTGTCTTGGCTCTGTTGGTCTGTCTATCCTTGTCTGTTGATATCACACAGCTTAAGTTACTATAGCTTTATAACAAGTTTTGATTATCTGGTAGGGTGAGTCCTTTCTAATTATTGTTTTTTTCAGAATCACTTTGGCTCTTCTTGCTCTTTATTCCACCATATGAAGCTTTAGATAAATCTCCCATTAGTGTCTTTTTCTTACCTGTTTCTTAAATATTTGTGGTAAATGAAGTCATTTCTTTTTTTTTCTTTTTTTTTCTTAGTTTTGTGGCTGGTTAGCCAAATCTTTTATTCAGTATTCCATCGTAGATCACACAAATAAATGGGTATTACTGGGAAAGAGAAGGGAGCTGTGTGGAAAAATCATGTTGTAACTTCACTTGAAGTTGTACTGATTTTCCAAATTAATTTGGTGAGGTTAAGAATAGTTATGATAAAAAGTGTTCCCAACCATGACATGATACAAACCTCCATTTATTTAGTCTTTTTATAGGTCCTTCAATAAACGTTAATAAGTTTTCCATAAAGGTATTACACATTTTGCCTCAGTGATTCTGGACTTTTTTTTTTTTTTTTTTTTTTTTTTTTAGCTATTTCTTGCATTTGATCTTCTGGGCCAGTAATGCAGCCTTTCCTATAATTCACCTACTTTATTATTTTGTCAAAAAGTCATGTTTTTGGAGTTGTGTATGTGAGTGTGTTACATTCAGATCTCTTTAAGTACTTTTTTGCTGTGCAGGTGCTCATCTGTTTCCTCCAGCAATTACTACGCAGAACATGAGTCCTACTATTTTAACCTGATCCTTCTTTCTCTGGCGACTAGAGCTCCTTGACTGTGCAATTACCTCTCTCTCAGATAAACAGGGAAATTCCACAGGTGCTGACTGGAAAAAGGTGTTTCTTGCCCTGAGGTTGGGGTAGAAAGTGCAGACTGTTACATCCCTCCTGAGGCACCCTGGGGGAAGTCTCTCTGATCTTTATCTGTTCAAGCCCTTCTCCCCAGCTTAACAGTACAGAACACTCAACCCATCCCCAGGTCCCTCACACCAGGATGAGTTCCTCAGACGTTGAAATGCCAAGCTCTCTCAAGAATTCTCTGAGCTTCTGAGCTCTGATGCTGCTTCACATTTGGTTCCTCCACCCCCAAGGGCAGAAGACTAATTCTCTCCATAGGAGCCAGCTAGCTGGCTCTAGAGCCAAGGGCAAGTAGCGTGGAGTTAGGTACAGAAGCCATTATGATCCCCAAATTCACCATTGGTGTATTTTCTACTTGTTTCTTAATAATTTGTTGGTGGTGAAAATAAATGCGATTAATTGATGTTTGTCTGGGATTTCTGCAGCTCTGTGGTTGGTTGGCCAACTCTGTAATTTAGTATTCCATCCTTGTTCAACATATATGAATAGTATTTTGGGGAGCAAGGGAACAGGAGATTCTGCAGATTCTCAAAGTAAAGGCAAAAAGACAACATATGCCCAGCATTATCCACTTGCTTTTTTTAGACTTAAGAGTGAACAGAGCTTTTTTTAAATAGGCATCTAAATGATTTTTGTTGTTGTTGCTGCTCATTTTTTTTTAAATACTGGGAACACTGAGTCTCAGTCTGAAAAATACCCTGAAATCTTAAGAGTAGCATATACCAGTGCCCTTCCATTCCCCGCCCCCCCCACCCCCCAAATCTTGTTACTTTGAATTAACAGACTGATCCATTTTTCCATTTTTGGTGGGCAGAGACTGTCTCATTTATCAGGAAAACTTAGAAGAGAGGAAGCCTTTAGAAGAATTTTTACTTGGAAATATAAGAAGACTAGTACGCAGGTTCAAGTCATACTTTTAACATGAGCTTGTTGAAAGAAATGTTAACAATTCCAAAACGCAATTAAACGAGTTTTAACTTTTTCCTCCCAAAAAGCACAAAAAATATGGAGAGGAAGTAAACAGGAAATTTTAAAATTTTTTAAAAGGTAAAAACAACTCTTCCTTGTACTAATCCTTGGGTAGTTAGCATACAACTGACTCTTCTTTTCGTTAGTTTCTTTGAAAACGGAATTTTCAACTCCCAAGTCTGTTGGTACTTAGTATCTGCTCCGGGCTCCCCCTCTCTCCGAGCGGCTTCCCAGGCGGCCTCCGCCCCTGGGGACCCTGCGGCCACAGCGGCTGTAAGAATCGCGCGGGGGAGGGCACCCCCTTTCCAAGGACGGGGAGAGCCCGCGGTCGGCTCTGCCTACCCGGTCGCGGCCCCTCGAGTAGCGGTCGCTATGGCCGCCGCCGTAACTGTCGCGGCCGCCGCCATAGGCGTCGGGCGAGCAGCCCCGGTACTCGTCGTAGCGGCCTCCCCCGCCGTACGACAGCGGAGGCCCCCGCATCGCGGCGGCGCTGAGCGGGTCCCCGTAGCTCTCGAATAGGTCTCGGTAGAAGCCTCCGCTCGGATGGTCCGAGAAGTCGCGGTCGCGCCCCCCGTAGCCGTCTCGGTCGCCATACCCTCTCGACGGACAGTTATCCCGGGCATTGGAGTGGCCGTAATCGCGGTAGGTGTACTCTCGAGGCGAGGGAGCAAACTCGCGGGGGTCGCGGGCGCTAGGGTAGTCTCGGCTCGAGTAGTTGTCTCTGGGCGAGCAGCCCTCCTCCCGGGGGCTCAGGT